CTCACTACAAAAACTCATTAATTCATTGTATGTATCTGTTATTAAATCTGGAAACAACCTACACGAACTCTGGACGGATCGACAGTAGTGGTGAGCTGAGAGCTGGTAGCGCTTCACTACTGCTCCAAGCACTTCGCTTTGTCACTTAAAAGTTTTCCCTGGGTGTGCCGATTACAGTGTGAGGTCTTTAATAATTATTTAGCCACTGATCTTGATAACGGCCGATCAGATCCCCATTCTCTTTATTACAGGCCGCAATAAAATGAAATAAATAGAAAAAGTACAAAATAAAATAAAAAATCGAGATGAAGTTAATTTTTTAAAAGCTAAGCTTATATTCACAGTGACAGCGCAAGAATGCGCTCAGAGGTAAAAGTACTAACGACAGGTAAAGCCAAACCGATGCGACCTATGCAGAAAAGGGCTTCAGAGTGCAAATCCATGGTGAATCGCTAACAGGCCGTCGCCAGCCACCGATGGGATCTCTGAATTTCCATGCGCTAATTCTTGCAACTGCCCAAGAAAACACAGACTCATCCGCGACAGTTTCTCCAACTGCAGATCCTGCAAGGCGTCCACACCCCACTTTTTGCCGTAATTAGGCGCCAGTGGGCGCGGATCAGCCGACTGCGTGGTACACAGCATCTGCAACAAGCAAGCATAGTTAAGTATCATTTTGGTGACCGAAAAAATGCGATGGAGCGTTAGTGAAGCTCTTGGCATATCTCGTACTTTGCAGATGGCTTCCTGAAGGTCCCATTGCCGACTGAAGTCCTGTTCAAACAGCTCTTTCAATGCGCTACCCTGCGGCGTCGGCAGCGTCACCTCCAGAGCATCCCACAATGCGCCCCCGAAATCCCGTCCAATCAACAGTCGCGCCGCAGGAATGCTGGTTTCAACGCGGACGGTATGTTTGTGGCGCTCCCATCCCAGAACACAGGAGCAGATCAGATGCACAACACAATTCGACATACGGACAATATCGCCCGGCAGACTCTCGCATGCTGCAATAAAGTCCTGCAGCCCGTATGAGCGGTACTCTGGATCCCGAGTTGGAACTGATGGACGCATGTGTCAGCATTAGAGTTCATCTGCAGTTCAAATTGAAAACCGTTCATATGCAGGCTTCTCAATCGGATTCCAGGATTGCTCTGAGCCATATAGAAGATCAGGTCGCACAGCTGTGTCGTGTTATGTGACCGCCAACGGTACTAAGAAGTACGGTACTAAGAAGTATTGACTAACAGCTCTCCGGACGGGATCGCTGTAGTCACTATCCCTGCCTTGCTCAGTGGGTAGTACAAACTCTTAAATCAACTGTTACAGTAAATACGGATAACAATCAGGAACACGAACCTTCAGGAATCCCTAAGCAATTGTGCTGAGATTTACTTCTAACTCCGGTCGATACACATGCGGGTCGGACGAAGCACGAGCATACCGTGTTTACCACGCTATAATCCGAAGCTAATTACGAACGTCGATAACCACAGAAGATGCTTTACTTCGCTAACACACAGTCATGTGCACAACACAAGGAAAGTTAAAAGCAAATTAGCAGTCAAGAATGATCAAGACTCACCCGGACTGATTCTGATATTAGCGATGACAGGAGAATTTATAGACTACGAGGAGCACAAGATACATCGCTATCAAGATGAGAACAGGCGAACCACAGATAGCGATAATGAGCAACCGCAGTGACGTAGGAGAAGGCGTACACCAGTAATAATAGGTAAATAGATAGGTACGTACTACTAGCATCTACACACGTCACCCCCACAAACGGTTCTTTGCTCCCGCAAATGTAAACAAATCCATCCCGTCCATCCCGTATGATTGTGCGACGCTCCATCCTGATCCATCTCCGCGCAATCCACACGTGTCCATCCGGTGCCCATAATGACTGTACGCCTGATCCGAGTAAAATTTGACAGAGGTGGGATCTTTGGCGCTCTCTGGGATCCGGAGGTCCACGGTGATTGACATGGCGGGAGATCCAGGATCCAGGAGGCGTCCGAAGTCCAAAGGGAAAAAGCAAAACAAAAACAAACAGAGAAAAGGAAAAATTCAGTGCGCTTTGTAACAGGGCTAAGAGCGAAAGTGCAACCGCACCGCATGGCAGTTACAGTCAACATACCACTTCCGGTTGCGAAAACTGCATGCTGCCAGTGCACATTTTTGCTTTTTATTGTAGACCCACAGTTTTGACAGCGTTTCTTCAAATTATAATATTTTTCTATCAAAATTGTGATTCTTAATAAGTAAAACTCCAAAATTAGAGTTTTCTTGTTCTGGTCTGCTTGGAATCTGCTGCGAAGGTAAGACATCTTCGGGACTGCTGTGTGGTGCGTATCGGGAATCCACTACACAGTACTGCTGACGCTGTCTGTCGTCGTTCTGTTGCTGCGCAAGCGGGTACCTCGCAACCTCTTTTCATACGGACTACCAGGAGCCTCGTTTTGCTGCAATCTTTTGCGACAGTGTTTTGTTGATATCCTGCCATGGATTTTCCAACATCCATTCACAGGTAAGATTTTCGACATTTTGCAGAATACGAGGATGCACGCAGTCAAACCGAAAGTAAATTTTTTCAGCGTGACCAACCGCCAACCGTGCATATAGTGCAAGCGACTGCCAACCAGGCTGTCACCTGTGCCACTCATACAGTGCAAACGATACCTCTCTTCCACGAGTGGCTGTTACGTGAAAAAATAATCTGCCTGTGTGCGTGGTTGTCGGTTGGTCTCACTGAAAAAATTGCCTGTCGGTTCGACTGCGCGCATCCTCGTACTGTAGTCTGCAGAGAACACTAGGATATACTACTGTGTCACGCTTCCACCACATCTACTGTCCAACAACTTTTTCCACAACTGTCGGAGACTTCACAAACAAGCCTTCCAATTTGGATTTCATTTGAACAACAGCTAAAAATTTTATTTCAAAAATTTTCACGAACAACATGCTGGGATACGTTCAGGATATTGCTGCGTACGTTACAGGCTACCGCTAACGGGGAGACAGTCAGCAATGCGGATTGCAATCCGAGGATGGCAATTACCCAATATGGCAACGACAAATTTTCTCACTTCGCTACTTGCGAAGTTACTCGTTCACGTCCCTACTTGCCAATGGAGGTAATGGATTACGCAGTTCTGCCATAACGAAGTTATTGTTAATATTAAAATTTAAACATTCCTCGTCTTAATTGTTACTAACACAAACATTTAACATACTACAAGTTTGTTCGCAGATTTTTGCTGGAAACTGGCAACATCCAGCCCACACAGATCATCAGATTTTTCTCTTCTTACAGACTGGCGGTTGACAACTTACAGGCTCATTATCTTCCACCATGACAGCCGCACTACCTTCTCGCACAACACTGACATTTGGTCGACATTCCGTACATTTCTTTTTGAATTCTTCAATGTCAACACTCATATTCGGCCAATAATACCGCCGCACTAGAAACGGAGACAATTCAGCGCTGGCACCATACACTTGGTTGTGCACAATTATCTCGTGGAAGCGCGTAATCAACTCTTTACGCCACTGACAAGATACATAGATTTTCGGAGATTTGCCATTGTCGTCTGGTTTTTGGCATACCAACCCTTCAGTAAAAATGGAACAATCAATTTCCTGCGACAGGGAATTCGGATTCATTCTTTTACGATATTTAAGATGTCTGTACCAGCTTCTACTATCTGCGCACTGTTTCTGTACAGTTCTCCAGAACTGTAAATCAGAAAAGTCCTGCGTGGACGCATGTTTGTTCACATCTGACCGACTTTCCCTAGGCTTCATCCGGGACAAAGAATTCGGACTGCGAACACACCACGGTGATTTCGGACGCTCGTGCACGTTGTCAACATTTCTGTGATCGGCCGGTACAGATTCAACTTTAATTGTTTTATTACCGATTACCATACATTGTGCTGGTGTTTCGACATTTTTCGCTGTTTGTTTAGGCGGATGCACTAAGGCTTTACCCCCACAAACTTGACTGGAGCATACGGATGTACAGCTGATATCAGAAGTACTGGGCTTTACATCACAAGTGGGTGGGTTTGTTTTACCGCACCCCCACAAACTTGACTGCTCATTATTCTGTTTCTGTGAGTGGTTATTACCCCCACAAACTTGGCTGGGTACTGGGGTTATTTTCACTGGTGCTGCCATGTCGATCCTTTCTGTTAACATCAGTGCTGGGATTGCAGGCGACGGTTTAACACCTGGCGGAATCACTGGATCAAAATGATGCGCCCTAATGATATCGGCCATCGAATGCATTTTCCGAGGGAACCATACTGGTGAATTCGGACGCTGACGGGATAGCCTCCACGTCATAGTGTTCATGTCCAGAATAAATGGTTTCGTTGCCAAGAAGTCCAACCCAAGGACGATATGGTCTCTTTCAAAGGTTGAACTGACCAATACCGCATGTTCGAACGACATACCGAACTCGTGGATTGTGATTATCGCGCACATTGGTTCAATTAATTGCCGTCCTTGGTATGCCGTATGAACTACTCTTCTTGGATGTGGTCCGGACACTGGTGAATGTTCAATTTCAATTCTTTTGCCATTTGGTGGGACATCACCGAGATGCTAGAACCGGTATCAATCATCGCTTTGACTTTCTGGTAATTTACATCGATTACCGAATATCAAGCTTGTGCATCCATCGTTGGTTTTAGACAGACATGGTTTGCGACCGGATATTGATTGATGTCCACGACTTCCAGAGTATTACACCTGATCAAAGGTTCGTTATTTGCTGTGGAAGTACTTGGCTCAATTTCCATAATGTTCATCTGTGGCGCGTTGCATTTAATTAGTATTTCCCGCGTGGGTCGATACAATCTCGGAATTGCTAATGGATTTTGGCATGACGCCGCCGGATGCATTCCGTGACAAAGGTAACAAATTTCATTTCCTAGAATTGTTTTCCATTCTTCCTTACAGATATTCCGCTCATCAAACGGCTGTTGTTCATTTTGCCGGAAATTTTGATTATTATTCGGCTGCTGATGACGGTAATTATTATTATTTCCACTTCGTTGATAATTATTCCCGTGATAAGTATTTCCGTAGTTATTTGGTCTAAACTGGCCTTGATTTATCCAGCATTATTATTTACAGGGGTATTTAAAGGAAAGTTAACGTTCGGATTCTGCATCTGCGGTACAGGCACATTGGCATTTACCGGAAGCGGCGGCGCCTGTCCGTGCTGCATTTGCCACTGGGGAGACTGACCGTTCTGCGGCACCATTGGCTGGTACTGCATGCCGTGATTATTTTGATAAGCAAACTGCGGTGCGTAAGCAGAATTCTTATTTGGCTGACGCTGCTGATAATTACCGTAATTAATATTATTATTATTATTACGATATCCGGAATTACCATTTCTGTGCGCACCGTTAGGCACAACATTTCTGTTTTCATAACTTAATGAGACTTCCATGGTCTCTAATTTCTGTAACCGCTCCAACCATTTCGTCCATAGTCTTCACATTTTGCGGATACAACTGCGTAAACCAATTTTCCTTATTTTGTTTTAGGCCATCCAGAAAGACACCAACACGCTCTTCCTCTAACATCTGCAATACTTCGAACCAGTGTAGGAAACTGTCCGTGTACCTGTACGAGGCGACTGTGTCATCTGTACGGAAAATACGGGCATTCATCTCGCGATGTAATTCAGCAGGCGTGACAGCCGAATTAGAATGTTTCAACAATTTGGGACGGAAGAAGGTAATCCATTGCTCGTTTGGATTATCTTCAAACAATTTTTTAAACCAAATCGCAGCATTATTTCTGAGAGCAGCAGCTACCTCTCTGCACGTCCTCTCGTCATCCCAGTCGTTTGACAAAATACACATATCGACATTGTTTAGCCACTGATCAATTGGGCCAGATTTCTTTGCATTTCCGTACTCCTTCAGATGCATAAGCTTTTCCGTTCTTCTCGAGGAGTTTTTATTCTGGGCAATTAACAATTCCAGCATTTTATTCTGTTTTTCATTTTGTGCTTTATTCTGTTCTATTGCGATTTTCGTGTTCTTTTCCACTAACAGCTGAACTGTTGATTCCAGGGAAGCACGGGAACACACGGATAAAGCGGGACTTCCACCACGAGGTGAGACCGCACCATGATCAACCGCAGCTGGATGAGCATTACCATTGTTATCAACATTTTCAGGGGGAACATTCTGCTGCGAATGCACGTTACCACGTGCACTGTGCCGGCTTTCAACACGTGATTCGTTTTGTGCAACGAAAATCGGACGCATGGGTGCCTGTAGCTGCGACTGCATATGGACACCTGAATTATTATTTATTATTACCGATCCCTGTGGCGGACGCACTTGTGGATACGGCTTTGATAAATTCAGCTCAGAAGGGCCAAGGTTTTGTCAGTCATATTGCGACATACGCGGGGGTACTCGGACTTCACCCGTGCCAACAGTTACTTCTGCTTGATGAACTGCTTGACCACCGCCATAGCGCACGTTCTGATTTCTGTAATGCATTAATTCCTGTTGGAAGCCAGCAAATTCTGCTTGCATATTTCTAACCGTTTGTTCACCCTCACGAAGAGCCGTTTTTAGCTGATCATTTTCTCTTCTCAACTGAGTGACTTCTTCCTGTTTTTCATAAGCAGCAGCTTGCGCTTTTTCCTTAGCCGTAATCGCCGTATGGCACACCGTGCAATTCTTACTTTTGGCTGCAGTGCACTCTTTTTGCGCCTTCTCTTTCGCTTGTTTCTCGTTCGCGTAATCAACTTTCAACTGCGCTGTTTGTGCCTGTAATGCTTCTTCACTATCTTTACAGGTTGTTGACAACACTGTACGCGTTGACTGGTGCATAAAATCGTTTTGAGAGCGACAAATCGCTAACTCTTCTTCCAATTTGGATATCCGTTCCGACTCTGGTACGAATTTTTGCTTTAAATCCTGCAGCTCATCCCAAAATTTCTTACGCTGCTGCGCCACATCATTATAATTTCTTGACGTTTTAGCATGATTATATTTTTCATTTTTCAGTTCATCCTGAACCTGATCGAGCTGATCCTTCAAGGAGGATACTTCATTTTTTAAAGCGGCACTAGACTGGACATCCTGAGACTGTGCCAGCTCGGAGCTGCGAAACTCATCCAGCTCTCCTCTGGCGTCTTCCAGGTAGTTTTCCAGTCTGCGATTAACATCTCTTAATAAATCCCTTTCCTTATAAATTTCGTCCAGTTCACCCTTTAAATCATTCATGTTATCCCGGTATGTGATTAAATTTTTATCCTGAACGCGTACTTTCTCTTTTAATCGGAATACTTCTTCTCCAACTTTATTTAATTTAACGCGTATTTCATTATATTTTGCGCGGAAATTATTTTTATCCTGCTTTTCCTGTTCCAGATCAGTACTCAACTGTCGGATTTGACCCATGGACTGCACGCTGCTGTTAAAAGAACCGATGAGTTTACGTATACTTCTGAACACCGTGCCAGTTGACTGCCGTGCAACTTGCGCAACATCATTATCCGTTTGTGTCGCCTCAAGTGCTTTATCAACCTGCACTACTTTTTCCATAAACGCATTATCGGGAGGAGCAAAATCGGTTTCCGTTAAAATTTTTCTCAAATATCGCTGTGAAGGATGAACTACCATCACTTCCGAATCTTCAGCAGTATTACCAACTACGGCCTGATTTAACTGATTATGTTCCGGTGAACCGGCCGCTGACAGGAAATTTTCTTCACCGGATATCGGCGATTGTACTGCTGATTCACTTCTCGTAATCTTTGAGAAGTCCATAGGCTTTGCGCCATCTGACACCACTTCCCGCTGATCATCCAAAAGGTTGAGCTGATCAACTGGAGTGTTAGTTTCCTGTGACTTATTTTGAGTCACCTCTGTCAGTGCATTTCCACTAGACAAATCCTGCGTACTTCGTGTTTGACGAGTCGATTCCATTGGCGGCGGCTGCCCGCTTGCAGATACTGCTGCTTTTCGCTCTTCCGTTTTCTTTTTATACTCGGGTAATTGTTCATATACACGTTTAACCGCTTCCTGAAACTCTTCGTCTGAAATTTCCAGGTACGCTTCCGGTATACACTGTTCTGATTCTACCCAACCACGGTAGTAGAACGGTGCTCTCGGTTTCGGGTTCGAAAACTGTCCGATTTCCTGATATTCAATCCAGGTTTTTCCACAAAATGCTTTCGGCTGGCTAGGAGATTCAACTCCTAGTACTTCGTACATCAGTCCCAAAGGAATTACTTCCGCATTAAATTTGAGTTTTTTCTGTTGTGATATTGCCTCACACGGGCCTAATATCACTCGCTTTGGGTCAATTGTCAACAGCATCGTATTTGCGTTCAATTTATCAGACATTTTTGTCCGATTTTCTTTAATCGACCTTTAAGGTTTCGATAAAAGAAATACAGTAGCAATAAAGCTACTGATATACCACGGCTATTGTGCCCACACACAGCAGCTATTGTGCTACTGTTCACAAAAGCAACGTCTCTCCTTTAAGGCTTGAGACGTTGACTACTACCGCAATTTGCTGCGGTATCCTTATAATTAATTACTGTGGATAACCTTTGCGGTTATTCCACGATTTAATTTTAATTTCCTCTTGTCTCAGGTCAGTCACTGACTGCCTGGATTGTTTACGTTTTACCAGCCAGCTATCACTGACTGCCGATCAGGCTACCGATTTGGCTTGCCTTTTGTGTGCAGTTAGTGAAGATTTTATCTAGCCTTGCCAGTAAAGATTTTATCTAGCCTAGCCTTGCCTTGACAATGGCTCGGCTACTGCGCCTTATCACCGTTTACAATCCGTCTGCAGCCAGGCACGTTGACACTGCAGATCTGCTTTATTTTACCGCGGTCACTGCTTTGCGCAGACAACCCGGAAATTACCCAAAAATTACGCGATCTATTCGCCAACCCAGCCGATCTTTAAGGTTTCGACTGTAAATTTACTGCTGACTTCGGTCCGATTTTAATTATAATTAAATGGCGAGAAAGCTCAGCCAGTTATTGGGCGAGGAAGCTCAGCCCGGGGAGGAAGCTCACCCAATAAAAAACCCTAGGTCAGATCAGGAACGCTGACCTCCTTCGGCGTACCTTACGGTTCAACGCCTTCTACTAACCACTCACACACATTCACACGTAAAATACCATCCACGATTTTTACTGTAACATCGGAAAAAATTACGAACCATCGGTGGGCGCCATGTCGTGTTATGTGACTGCCAACGGTACTAAGAAGTACGCGATTGACTAACAGCTCTCCGGACGGGATCGCCGTAGTCACTATCCCTGCCTTGCTCAGTGGGTAGTACAAACTCTTAAATCAACTGTTACAGTAAATACGGATGGAATAATCAGGAACACGAACCTTCAGGAATCCCTAAGCAATTGTGCTGAGATTTACTTCTAACTCCGGTCGATACACATGCGGGTCGGACGAAGCACGAGCATACCGTGTTTACCACGCTATAATCCGAAGCTAATTACGAACGTCGATAACCACAGAAGATGCTTTACTTCGCTAACACACAGTCATGTGCACAACACAAGGAAAGTTAAAAGCAAATTAGCAGTCAAGAATGATCAAGACTCATCCGGACTGATTCTGATATTAGCGATGACAGGAGAATTTATAGACTACGAGGAGCACAAGATACTCGTACATCGCTATCAAGATGAGAACAGGCGAACCACAGATAGCGATAATGAGCAACCGCAGTGACGTAGGAGAAGGCGTACACCAGTAATAATAGGTAAATAGATAGGTACGTACTACTAGCATCTACACACGTCAGCTGCATCATTTCCGCAGTCTGCATCCGTTGGTTTCTACCGTTGAACACCACGTGCTGCGTGCCACGCTGCAAACCATGGTACACTGCTGCCAGATTGAAATACTGGCTGAATCTCCGTTTAGAATCGGCGCAGTCGCCCACCACAATCCGACCACGCAACGCCGGCTGGTCCAGCATCAGTTTCCATGCTGCACACACATTGCGCAGCTTCACCTGCGTCACAGTTCCACAGTGCGAGAAAACTTCCGCCCATAGTTCCAGAGGCAGCGCTAACTTGTCGCGCGCTTACCCAGTTTCATTGGAAAACGCAGTCACATCGATCCGCTCGTTGTGGACATGCGCGGCGGCCGCCTGAACCGCGTATAGTACGCTTATGTACGTCAGTGACGATCCAAAGGGTTTCCCAGCGTCACTTCTTCCAAAGCAGACCAGCTCACTGTCCAGGAGATCCACCGCGGCAACCGCACATTGAAAGTGATCGAGCTCGTAGTCGTTCAGTTGCTTGATGAGCGCCTGTGCTTCTGGGGGGCGCAACGAGCGGAATTCGTCCGTTAGTTGCACAGCATACTTAATGAAGGTTCCTGGATGGACATCTGCGTGCAGTGCCGCGCTTTTGCCAGCCCGAAGATATCCGTTGTTCACCGCCATTTGACGGTCAGCTTGTCGACGCGGGATCCCAAACCAACCGATACGATCTAGAGGGACGATATCAACACACCAGACTCCGTTTTGAGTCCAATAGACCGGCGCGGCTCGGCATGACTGGTGCGGCACATGGCGTCCAAAACCAGGCACTCCACCTTCCACCCAAATCCACGGACCCACCGGCGTCTCCGGCACTAGAATTTCCATGGCAGTGGTTGAGAAGGCGTT